AAGGATGAATATGAAAAGAGATTGCCAAAAATGAATGTCTGGCCTCTCATTCCCAATCAGTTGTTCAGAGAAATCTGGCCTTTACCAGCTAGTAGTTTGCTCTGGGACTTCAGTGGTGCACCATAATAAAGCTAAATGCAGATGTGTATATTTTTATTTGTATATATGAATGGGACAGCAATGATAAATTACCACATATACATAAAATCCCCCACAAATAAAAATGTCAGCAACATTTCCAAATTAGAGGCTGAACCCAAATAAAAGATAAACCAAACAATACAAGATTGAAGTTACAGTAAACAGCTGGTTGAACAAAGAAAACAAGTTTTAATACAGCTGTGTAAAACTATTGTCTGATGAAGTCCTGAGAAAAAAAGAACCTTATGTAGAAAGAACATTTGTAAAGATACCAGCAATTCAATGAGAGCTCCACATGGTTTGAAAGATTTCCAAAAGTTTATTGATAATAAGTAAAGACACTTTCAAATTCAGTTGAATACACATTCATTTAAGAGGAAGGGCCAGTGCATATCTGATAACCCATCCCGCTTCAGTACAGCAGAACCAGCTGTTTATAACTTATTTGTAAACCATTATCAGCTATAGCTTATTTATTTATTTATTTATTTATTTATATGATTATTTATTTATTTATATGATTTATAGAACCACTCATCTGACACAAGCTTAATTTAGTGTAATATGTAAACCAGCTTTGAGTTTTATAGGAGTTTTACATAATATATGGAGTCAAGGCAGCTAATCTTCCTGAAATAATCCTGTTTCAGACTAAATTTATATGGACTTCATGTGCATATCCTGTTAAAGAAAGGCTGCGCATCAGAACACTCTGGCTCACAGGCAATTCTTGCTCCGAGATCAAAAGCCCTTTGCAAGCAATCAGGTTACACTTTTAATAACTGTCTATCTGTTCCCTGGCAGCTAGGAACAGATGGGGAGAGAAAGAAAAAGAAGTCAGATATTAAAGTGAATGTTAAAGGAAAATGAGTTGCATCCGTCACTTTGGGTTTCACAGCCATCCTTTGAAAATTAGTTGGAATCAGTTTTCATATTTTTTCAGAATACTAGAATAATTGCTTTGTGTAAATGAATTTCTCTTTGTGTGTCACTAGGCTTTTTTTTCTGAATGTCATAACAAATCCCTTGGGAACACAAAGCATTGCAATGGTCATGCCTAGAAATATTCATTTTATTTTTGCTTTTTCTTAGAAGCATTTCACCATGCAAAATGAATTTTGGAAATAGTGGTGAAGCTTTTGCAAAATAAAATTTCTACTTACAGCTTTCTGTTGGATTTTTTTTTTAAGCTGCCTGACATTTTACTTTCCTAACTGATTTGCATAATTTTTTTCCTTTTGTGTTGTAAGTCCATTGCTCCCTGCTGCTCTCTTCCCTGTGTGAAGCCTCAGTAACACTGAAAAAACAGCAAGGGTGGTGGTGGCTGGCAAAGATTCTTTCTTTCCACTGGAGGGGAATAAGCACTAGGAAATCAATAAACCTTAACTGCTTCAATTCAGCTTCACAGGAAGTTTGCACAGAGTGCAGGAATACCTTAACAATATGCGAGAAAAGCCTGAACTCAGACAATATGATTTGTGAACCTAGTTACCCAACACAGTTTAGTGCACTAGATAAACTCAGTGGGCAATACAGTTTGTAGGAAAGCAGCTATAAGGCAGAAAGGATAAGCAGAAATATTGCCCCGATGAGAAGGATGGTGATGGCAAGATTTGAGCTTCAAATTGATAATCAGGATGTTGCTGAACCAACTCCAGCTAGCCTGGAGTTCTGGTTAATATCTGGAAATCATAAGCTCCTTTTCCAGGTATAAGAAAGGAGTAAATGAAATCATTGCTCTTCTACTATATCAGTGGTGGCGAACCTATGGCACGGGTGCCAGAGGTGGCACTCAGAGCCTTCTCTGTGGGCACACCCCAGTCCTAGGCTTTCAGCTGGGTTTTATAAAACCTTTTCGCTTTAGGCCTCTGCCGCCATGTGCAAAAAAATAAATAAAAAAAATTCTATCAGTCAATTTCAACTTGCGGGAAAAAAAAAGATCTTGCAAAGTTGGAATTGATTGATTGAACTTTTTAGTCCCATCCAGTCCGCCATTACCACTGCAGCCACACCCACCCAATTGGCCACGCCCACCCAATTGGCAAAACCCACCCAATGGGCCACACCCACCCGGCACTCGACGATGCATAAGTGGGTTTTGGGTTGCACTTTGGGCACTCAGTCTCTAAAAGGTTCGCCATCACTGTACTATATGCTCAACAAAGTCTTTCCATCTTCTTTCCTAAAACTAAGAATGTTCAATTTTACATTCCTTCCATAGCTCCTCTTTTCCTTCTGCTAACTGATGGGCAGTGTTTTTCTTTATCATTCTCTTTTGGGTGTCTCCGCATGTAGCAGCTTCTAGCTGACTTTCTGTGGGGTGGGAAGCTAAGTAGGACTACACCTGGTTAATTCTTGCATAGATCAATTCCCTGGTCTCCCACAGAAAATTCAGAA